CCGTCCTCCATTACCAAGGTCCGCTCAGCTGCAAAAACCGAGCAGGATGAAAATCGCGTCAGGTGCCATTCGCAGCGCAAAGACAGGCAGACGAATCAATACAAGTGGCAAAATGAAATCGAAAGACATCAAGTGTCGAGAGGATCTTGACCGTCCATCTTGCAGTTTAGATCACGTCAGCAGCAATGGTCGAGAATATCTCGATTGCTTTCTGAAGCACGGAACTGGCTCTGTTGGTTAACGAGATTGGTCAGACGAGATTGGTCAACGACACCTGGCACTGCTGCTCGCAGGCCCTCAGATATCAGGGTAAAACACCCTGAAAGCCTGATTTTCAGGGTGTGGTCTATTCGTGAGCCCTGAGATTTTAGGGTATTCTTTTTGTTTGGCCTGAAATTTCAGGATGTATGTCGTACGCAGCCCTGTTATTTCAGAGTGTTCAGCTTCGCCAAGCCCTGAGGCCTCAGGGTATTAGCGGGGACAGCCCTGATACAGCCCCTCTGTACTGACAGGGGACGATACTAGGCTTATCCCCGGATTCCCGTTGAAGATGCCTAGGAATCGCACTAACACCCACCTTCATGCGCGTTTCCTGGGCTTCGCTGGCAGGGAATGGACTTCTGCCCAAGCCGCAAAGGCACTGTATAGTCCAACGCACCATGCACGCTGCAAACGCCGGGCTATTTGCAGCCAGGGACGAAAGTTCGATTGGTCGAACGAATCCTGCATGCACATCCCTTCCAATTCCGTCCTTCTTCGCACCGCTCTGTCCAATTCCGTTATTGTTGCTGCACCTGAAACGCCCTTCCCTACCACGCATCTCTTGCACACCCAGCTTCATACAGCTGTGCTTTTGGGTCACCAGCAAACTGAGAGACACTCTGCCTTTCCTCCTCGTCGATCTGTTTCTGCCGCCGCCCATGCGTTTGGGCATTGCTGCCCGCCCATCGCCATGGCGGAGCCTAATAGGGTTGGCAGCTGTAGTCAGGCCCCCGTTGAGCCCGCCCTTGCCTCTAGGTCCCGCGATCTGACGGGTTTAGATTTCCTGAGGCGAGTCCACGCAGTACCTGCCTCTTCCACCCCGCCTAGGAATCATGCTGAGACATCTGTCCCATTGGCAGCATCACTACCTAGTCTAGCAGCACCAGTCCCAGCAGCGCCAGTTCCAGCAGCAACATTTCCTGCCGCGCCGATAGCAGCAGCGCCAGTTCCAGCAGCAACATTTCCTGCCGCGCCGATAGCAGCAGCACCAGTTCCTGCAGCAAGTGTGACATCGTTGGCGCATGGTGCAACCCGCATGGGTCCCATCACGTCCAAGAAGCTGCTCGGTGCCCGGTACCGCCAAGTCACTCTCAGCTTTGGCCGTACGTGGGTAGCACCACCTCCCACGCCGACCGTGACGCTGCCTACCGAATCTGGGCCCACTTCCCCTGCCGCATCTTCAGACTCAATGCCCATCGTCAACGAAGCAGAGGATAAGTATCAAGATGCGCTTTTCCGGTTCAAGAAGGAGTGGTCCTTGGACTTCCCATGGCTTGTGCTGTGTCAGACTAAGGCCGGGTTCCCCTCTGTGAGGTGCAGTGTGTGCATGCATCATGCAGGTCCCGGAACTAACTACGGTCGCGGGGGTGAAGGAGCGGTTGATGTCCAGACACAAGCGTTCCGGAATCACCAGCGCACCAAGAAACACAAGCGAGCAGTGCGGAATCAGGCCATCGCGGAGAAGCTGACAAAGGGGCAACAACGAATCGAGGATTGTCCGTCGGCGTACGACATCGTGAAGGAACGGGTCATCGCACTCCTGGAGACGCTCATGTTCATTTGCCAGTCAGATGCGCTGATTGAGATGTGGGTCGAGCTGTGCAAGTATCTTTCACGAAGGCGCACGCCGGGCTTCCCGAAGAAGGGCTATGGTTCTTATTTCACAACGTGAGTACTGCTGTCAGTAACCCCATTGTCCATTCTATGCAAGCGTACTGATTTCGTTACCAGTATAGCTTCTAGGAGCTCAGCAGTCGCTTGTACACTTGTAGGAGCTCACCTCTCCCTTCTCTCGTCTAATTCATTGCAGCTATGGCTTCCAGGAGCTCACCACGTCCACAGCGACATACTTGCGTGCAAGGCAGCACGAGTACTTGCATTCGAGTCCGTTCATCGGACTCAGCTGTGATGAGAGCACTGATAGAGTCCGCGGCAAGCACATGATTGTTTTCACTATTTTCATTCGTGACCGGCGAGTGGTCACCGAGTTTCTTGCACTGCTGTCTGTCGAGAAATGTGATGCTGCGTCCCTTCTTGCAATGCTCCTAGCTCATCTGGAGAGCATCGGACTAGACCTGAACAAAGTTGCGGGAATCAGCACTGACGGAGCCGCGGTCATGATGGGCGTCACGGGCGGTTTGGTCGCGCGACTTCGTCTTCGCCTGCCTCATCTCATCTCCTTTCATTGCATCGCCCATCGGTAAGTTCCTTGCACATTTCATTGTTACATTGTTGATGTTTTGTTTCATTGTTCCTTCATTCTTTCATCGTTGTTTCATTGTTCCTTCATTCTTTCATTGTTGTTTCATTGTTCCTTCATTCTTTCATCGTTGTTTCATTGTTCCTTTCGTATTGCTGATCATGTCTACATTGTTCTGTTTGGCAGGGAAGCCCTAGCTGCAAAGGACGCTGCTAGTGCCGCACCGGAGCTTGGCATCGTCGACCTCATCGTGAGGACCGTCGCAGAGCTACTGGGGAGGTCGCACAACTGGCACATGCTGTTCAAGGAGCTGCAGGCGATCTTCTCAATGACGAACCTAGAGCTTCAAGGCATCCACCTCGTTAGGTGGCTCAGCCGTGGCATGGCTGTGCTTAGGCTTGTCGAAGTGCTGCCCGCTGTGATTGTTCTCCTCCTGGAATACGACACGGAGATGTATCACGTGGTTACATCACTCAAATTTCATGTGTACTTGTTCTTCCTAGCAGATATTTTGGAGGAGCTGAACAACCTCAACTTGGCATTCCAGACTCGAGAGGTAGGCCACTGCAATGTACGTATGCGTTAAAATTTTTGGAAATACTACTCACTACTCCCCTGTTTTTTTCGTACCTTCCTCCCTTCCACTCAGGTGGACCTCACGGTAGTGGGATCTCTGGTCAGACGCACCTGCGTCTACATCCGTCAGCGCTACATCACCTGTGGCGAGCATTTTGGGGGTGACGGGAGCAAGCGCCTGGCCACATTTCTCTTGCGACATGGGTCGACCAACAGTCGCAAGGTGACCGTGGAGGGAGTTGACAAGGAAGGCCGGCCGCGAGTGCACCATTTCAAGCTGCACGAGAAGGAGCTTCCGGGATACAGCGAGATCCCGGGGGTTTTGGAGTCCTGCTTTGACCCTTGCAGAGTGTTCGCGAAGGCAGCAGTCGACAACTTGGGGCAGAGACTCGGCGACCTCGACAACTTGAACGGAGTGAGGCTGTGGATGCCTGATACTTGGCCCCGGAACACAGAGGCGCGGGATGAGCTGTGCGCGGGGCACTTGGAGTCGGTCATTGGCATGTTCCATGCGGGTGACAAAAAAGAAGTGCTGCCAGGTATGCCTCACATACCGGTAGCTGCCGGGCTTTGAGCTTGCTGCCGGGCTTTGTGCTTTCTGCCAAGCTTGCTGTTGGGCTTTGTGCTTGCTGCCGGGCTTTGTGCTTGCTGACATGCTTGCAGCCGGGCTTTGTGCTTGCTGCCAGGCTTGCTGCCAGGCTTTGTGCTTGCTTTGTGCTTGCTGCCAGGCTGTGGAAGCCTGATATTCGTATCTTTCACTTCTTTTCTTGTGCTGTGTGTGTGGCAGGAGTGGACAAGAGAGCAGCAAGGAAAGAGCTGAAGACCTTGGTGCCCGTGCTTCAAGGGGCTCCACGTGGAGAGCGCAGCTTTCATGATGGCTTGGCGGCCATGCTGCAGACTAGTGACTGGCCCAAGAGCTACCCCAACTTGGTTCGCCTGTGGGTGGCTGTCGCTGTTCTCCCCATCAGCACTGTCGAATGTGAGCGAGGTTTCAGCAGGCAAAATGTGATCAAACGTTGGCAACGAACCAGTCTCTGCAACGGCAAGCTGTCAGATCTCATGTGCATGAGCATGCTAGACTATGACATGGATTGGGGCATGGTTGTTGACCTGTGGCGCAAAACCAAGAAGCGCCGTCCCAGCAAGAAGAAAGAGCAGTCCCGTGTCCGCCCAAGGAGCGACAAGGGCAAGGAGAAGCAAGGGCATGCATCAGACAACGAGAGAGAAGAGGATGGTGGTGAGCCAGAGGATGATGATGGTGACAGTAGCTGTGGGTTTAGCTCTGATGATGAAGGAAATTTCTAATTTGATGTGTCTAAACCGTAATGAATGATGTACTACTCTGCCATACTGTGCGTGCATATGTTTTATAAACATTGTGAGGTTGGTTGTAACGAAAAAGCTGCACTTCAAAAAGTGCCCTGTCAGCTCAGGGTCCTGTCTTGAAAATGCCCTGTATGAACAGGGTGTGCATAGCGCTCAAACCCTGAGGGGTGCACGCTTTTCAGAGGGTGAACCCTGAGGGCTCAGGGTGCCTGAATTTGAATCTGAGGGCCTGGCTGCTCGATCAATCTCCCACGATTTTCAGAGGCAAGGAAATGACCCTGTCAGAGTGTGCGATTGCTGTAGCAGATTCATCATTAGCAGTTGCTTGGTGAAGTTCAGGCCTCATAGTCCCTGTTACAACCCAAATTCATTTTGCATCTTACATAAAACATGGGCTTTATATTTTTCCAGCCTACTGTTAACACCCATACATTTTTTTAATGAAATTTTGACAATACCCTAGGGTGTTATATACGGGGGAATACGGTATCAGAGCGAGGGTTGACGAATGAGATTGATAAGACGGAAACACAACTGAGTCTACACCCAAACAACGCAGTTTTGCTTTGGAAAACGAGTGTCCCTTGGGAAGGCAAAGCTTGAATGTTTCTTGCATACGGTTTACCCTAAATGCTCACTTAAGTATGCTATCAAGAGTACGCATTCTGTGCTACCGCTGCCCTGAAATGCCCCGTCTTGATATGCACAATATATTCTTGCTCAATGCATCAACGCACAACGTGGGTGATACAACATATGCATCCTCCTATAGGTATCACCCACCCATACCAGTACCACCTGCTGCCCAAAACAGCAGCAGATGGTTTCAGCAAATCTAAAAACTGTCCATCCTATTTACCTGCTGCCAAGGGTGCAGCAGCAGCAGCAGCTGTTTCGAGGAATCTGAAAACTCAGCATCCAGCCAGCCACCCCCCCACCTCTCCCTACCACCCCCCACCCCCCATTTGAACCTTCTACAGAGGGAGCAGCCGGCGGCGTTCTTCCCGCCCATGCTGCCAAGCCAAGACTAGATATTGTTGCTAGAGAGTGCTGCCATTAACGCTTCTGAAAATTATGCTGCTGCTGCTGCTGCCTATGCCAGGCTGCCTGCCTGTGCCAGGCTCGTAGAAGGACGGGCCATAGAAAAGGTCGACTTGGCTTCTGCTGCCACTATTACTGCTGCTGCTTCTGCTGCTTCTACTGCTGCCTATGCTGCTTCTGCTGCTGCCTATGCCAGGCTGCTAGCACTAATGCTGCCTGTGCCTGGCTCATAGAAGGATGGGTCGTAAAAAGGGTCCACAGAGGAAAAGGACGACTCGGTGCCGCCCAGGGGCGAGACAGAGAGGGGCGGCAGGGACGAGGTGCTGGAGGAGCAAGCCCTGTAGATTTTTTTTTGGGGAGGGGGGGAGGGGGAGGGGGGAGGGATGGGGAGAGGATAAGGTGTGAAGGGGAGATGAAAGCCCCTTGCCGCTGGCACTCGCTCCCACATGCATCAGACGGACCTACTATCGCCCATTACACACTAGCGAGGGTCAATACTCACGAATCGGAGGAGCAAGCAGTGCTCGTGTCGGTTTCCAGGTAAAATCAGTCAGCCCCACGCCAGATAGATGCTCGTGTCCCTATCCACTCAAACAGTCCTATCACTAGGCCACACTCAATACAACACACTCACGAATCGGAGGAGCAAGCAGCGCTCGTGTCGGTTTCCAGGTCAAATCAGTCAGCCCCACGCCAGATAGATGCTCGTGTCCCTTGCACATCCACTCAAACAGTCCTATCACTAGGCCACACTCAATACAACACACTCACGAGTCGGAGGAGCAAGCAGTGCTCGTGTCGGTTTCCAGGTACAGGTCGGTCAGCCCCTTGCCGCTGGTGCTGGCCCCCACATGCAATCAGACACACCTAATATCACTCATTTACATTCATGAGGGCCGGTACTCACGACTCTGAAGAGCACGAGGTAGACGTGTCGGTTTCCAGGTACAGGTCAGTCAGCCCCTTGCCGCTGGTGCTGGCCCCCACATGCAGTCAGAGTCTCCCACACACCTCATATCTCCCATTGACATTCACGAGGGGTTTAACACTCACGAGTCTGAAGAGTCACTTGCACTCAGACACACCTCGTATCTCCCATTGACATTCACGAGGGGTTTAACACTCACGAGTCTGAAGAGTCACTTGCACTCAGACACACCTCGTATCTCCCATTGACATTCACGAGGGGTTTAGCACTCACGAGTCTGAAGAGTCACTTGCACTCAGACACACCTCATATCTCCCATTCACATTCACAAGGGTCGGTACTCACGAGTCTGAAGAGCACGAGGTAGTCGTGTCGGTTTCCAGGTACAGGTCAGTCATCCCCTTGCCGCTGGCGCTGGCCCCCACGTCCAGCTGCAGTCGCGCCTTCCCGTTCCCACACGCGTACTCCTTATAAACCCTCGTCGCGTTTGCAGAAGAGCACGGCACTGTAGGCGCGTCCGATCTCCATTTGCTTTTCGAATTCGGCGAATCAATAACTATATTGACCCCGCCCGAACACCCCAGCCAATCAAACACGTTCAGCTGCATTTTACTCGGGTAAAAGTTGCTGTTAGTCTCTGCTGGAACCACCTCTATCCGGTAAGTATACCCTGCTAAGAGCGACGCTGTCAAGAACCGCCGCTTCTTTGTGGTACCAGCCGGCCCGCTCCCGGGCTTGTCATTATCCGTCCCGTATGCGAGAAAGGAACTCCCATCATCCATCCTGGTGATCTTCAGATAGGAGTACGGCCGGAGAACTGTTCTGGGAAGGCCGGACATGCCGTTGGGCCGAACCCCGTACTCGTCGTACTCCAAGCCGATCGATCGGTAGCAGACTGAGGAGCAGGAGTAAGCTGAGAAGGCGCTTATGAAGGAGCATTTGGAAGCGCGGACGGTGTCGGGCGGCAGGATGGGGTCGTAGTTGGCAACGGCGTAGCCTGATTGGCCGAGGAGGGACCCGTCGAGATCCCGAATGGCGTAGAAGCGGGCGAGCAGCCCCCCGCGGGGGGGAGTGCCGGAGGACTGAGATGGATGGGGTAAGGAGGGTGACAGGGAACATAGAGTGTCAAGGATTGACAAGTGGTGGGGGTAAGGAGCCCGCCGCGGGGGGGAGTGCCGGAGGACTGAGATGGGGGGTTAAGGGGGTGATGAGGGGCACAGGGAGTGTGCGGGGTGAATAGAATAGAAGCAAGCAAGCACCTAAGGAGTAGGTAGGGATGGAAGGATGGACCAGAGCAATACAAAGAAGATGAGGGGAGGGACGGGGATGGATGGGGGAGCGGAATGGGGATGGATGAAAGAAACTCACGGGATTGGGTGTGGCCCAGAATTTGTTGGTCCCTGAACTGAAAGAGAGACCCTGAGGGAAAGGGAAACAAAAAAACAACCGAAGACTGCTTGAATATCACGTTGGGGGACAGTTGTGTGAATAATAGTTTTGCAGCTACAGTAGATTAAGTAAGATAGCTTGGCAATATTATCCTCACGGCACTGCTCCTTTGAAAGCTACTATAACGACCTTACTGCAGCGAACAGGACAGTGTTACTTCAGCAAGAATTCCTTAAACGAGCATGGCAGTGTCCCAGTATTCACCCGCCTTATTGGCCACCAGAGCAACAAGTAGTACCATAACGAGTATTATCATAGTGAGTATTACCTGAACGAACATGGCAGTGTTCCAGTATCCACCCGCCTTGTTGGCAATAAGGGCGATGCCAAAGCTGCTGCTGCTGCACGTGCCAAAGCGGTGGAAACTGGGGAGAAGGAGGAGGGGGGCGGAAGAGGGGGGGGAGATGTCAGTAGGAAAGCCGATCTGTCTGGTGCGTGACTGGCTGGGCGGTGCTCGGATCCAGGTGGTCCTGCGGGTTGCTCTGGCTCTGAGTGATCCCGGGCTGGCCTTATAACGAGTACAAGCTCTCCCCATAACGAAACAACTACTACACTTACGATGTATTCTGGATGGCGTTCGGGTACAGGTGATCCTGTGGGTTGCTCTGGCTCAGTGTGATCCCAATCGGATTTGCAAACGACCCCGCCTCATTCCCCAGCGACAGCCCGAGAGGATTCACCACTCCCCCCTCGGTATCCCGATACGCCTTGTTGTATGGATCCCACTTCACAGCAGCCCTTTGACGCACGCCAACACTGGGATCAACCGCCCCTGACTCCAGAAACGCCTTGTTGCCACCGCTGCTGCTGCTGCTGCTGCTGCTGGTGCTGCTGCTGGTGCCGGCACTGTTGTCTGCAAAGGGATCCAGAGGTCCAAGCGATGCCTGCAGAGTGAAGGGCTCCCAAATAGTCGTGGGTCCTTCTGGGATTGTGGGGTCTGTTGGGCCGCCCAGCCCAGGAGATGTGGGGTCTGTTGGGACATCCAATCCCGGGGTTGTGGTGTCGTTGTCAAGGGCTGTTGCTGCAGCCATGGCTTGCTGATTGGAGGACCTAGGGAGGACAAGGGAAAGAAGAACGAGAGGAGAGCAGGAGAATCAGAGAGAATTCCAGAGTACTCTCCCTTGCCTCACGTGCTTCACCTCACTGGCAAAGGGTAGAGAACCGCACAATCAGTCTGGAGCTCTAGGCTTGCACGCTGTAGCGTAGAGCTTTATAGAATCCTAAAAAACAGATGACTTCCACGAACAGGCAAGAGGCAGACGATCGGCCGATGAAACGGCAGCTGCAAACCCTCACTCTCTCTCCTCGCCTGACCTCTAGCGCAAAACTAGACAGTCACATATGTGGTGGTATACTCACGGGCAAGTGACAGAAGATCGTCCGATGAAGCGGCAGTTCTTGGCCTGAAACCCGGTGCTGCAACAAAGGACTCACCCATTTTTTGTCAAACACTTAGCCTTCTCAACTCACGGGCAAGTGGCGGAGGATCGCCCAATGAAGCGGCAGTTCTTGGCCTGAACCCCGGCATTGCGGCTCAAGTCGATGCCGATGCCATTGTCGAGAAACACCCCGCTCTCCACTATGAGGCGCTCGCTGTTGAAAAGGAAAATTCTGTCGAAAGAACATGGAGAAAAAAAAAGAAGAAAAAAAGGAAGAAAAGAAAAGAAAAAAAACACCAACAAGATGGACGGGATGATCATGGGAGATGGGGATGTGGCGTGTAGTATTTCTTAGGTGCCTCAAAAATAGACTCCTTACGTGTCGGTGTTAGCTAGAGTGTGGGTGAGAACGAGCGGGATAGTGAGTGAGAATGAACAGGGTAGTGAGTGAGAACGAACGGGGTAGTGAGGAGGGCAGGGGGACAAAGGAGACCAAAAAAAGAGGGGGGAATGGAGACGATTGGAAAGGGGAGGAGTGGAGTATGCAATTCGGCAAACTCACCCCGCATTGCTAAGTGAGAGGTGCGGATTCACCATCGGAGAAGGGTAATGAGGGCGGGAGCATTGCAGGAAGGTGCGGAAGTCAAAGAGGATAGAGTGGGAGTGGGTGTGGCGGGAGGGAGGGGAGACTAGTCTAGCAAACATGCAAGCACGCCAAATTACCCCGCCTTGTTGCGGTAAACGAGGAAGTTCTTAAGGGAGACGAGCAAATACACTATGCTCCAGGAAAGGAGGACTCCCATAGAAAACTCACCCCGCCTTGTTGCGGTAAATGAGGAAGTTCTTAAGGGAGACGCGGGGATTCTTGGTGGGAGAAGGGTAGTGCGGCCTCGACCCATGCGGGTAGGTGCGGACGCCAAAGAGGTTGGAGTGGGCGCTGTTGCCATCCCACGTGCCCCAGTTGTAGTAGAAGGGCACCGTTGAGCCGATGTCGGGCAGCAGGCGCGAGAGACCCCGCATGTAGGGGTTGGCCTCCAGCCAGAAACTGAAGGGAAATAAGAATGAAAATCGGGGGAGAATATATAGGCGAGAATGGAATGGAGGAGGAAGTAAGGGGAGAGGAGGAGAGGGTGAGGAAGCCAAAGAGGTTGGAGTGGGCGCTGTTGCCGTCCCACGTGCCCCAGTTGTAGTAGAAGGGCACCATTGAGCCGATGTCAGGCAGCAGGCGCGAGAGACCCCGCATGTAGGGGTTGGCTTCAAGCCAGAAACTGACGGAAAAGGGAGGAGGGGCAGAGAACGAGAGAGGTTCTAGAGGGTTAAAGGGAGCACTGGAGCTGAGCAGGCGCGAGAGACCCCGCATGTAGGAGCTGGCTTCACGCCGCAAACGGAGGAAAGGAGGGGAGAGGAGGAGGGGGAGGGGGGAAGAGGGGCAAGACATGAGTCAGAGAAATTGACCGAAGGGGATGAGGGGGGTCATGGGGAAGCAAAAGACATCAGACACCAGCATTGGGAAGGCACAATCAGACGTCAGCATTGGGGGAAGGGAAGGGAAGCAACGTTTGGGTGGAGGGTTGGGAAGACAGGGGGAAAGCCGGGGAGGTGTTGGGTGAGTGGTGAGGGTGCAGGGGAGGGGAGCGCTGACAGGCGCGCTTCTAGGGGGTCAGGAGGGATTGGCTCACCCGGAATCCAGCTTCAGCATTATCATGAAGCTGCTGAAGGGCGTCGCGAGCCAGAACATCATCGGCTGCTTGTCAAAACACCTTCAGTACTATAGAATGCTACCAACAGTATTGACTGTATTGTGATACAATCTACAGTACGGTCCACTCACCCAGAATCCTCCGACCCGGCAGCGACATTATCGACGAAACTGCTGAAGGGCGTCGCGAGCCAGAACATCGTCGGCTGCTTGTCGGTCTGGAAGTCCAAACGGCTGGAGGTCGCCGGCGGGATGACTTTTGTGACTTTCCGCGCGTTGATCCCAAGGTTTCGCCGAAACAGGTTTCGCATTTCGGAGCCCTCCTCCAGCAGGTAGCAGTGGCCCTTGGTTTCGTACGAAACGTTTTCCTCGATCGTCATGTTACCAGTCGCGTGGATCACCATGCACCGCTGCTTCGTAAAAACGATCGCGTTTTTCCGCACGATGTGGTTTTGCCCTTGCTGCCCGCACACGTGGAAATGAAGGGGGTATTTACCCAGCGTGCCCTGCTTCCCCAGCCCTCGAAATTGCACGCCCACGATCTTTTGGGCAGTAGGCGTCATATAGACCATGAAGTTACCGCCTGGGGTGGGAATAGGGGTGAGGAAAGGAATAACAGTGGAAGATGCAGGGCGGAGATGGGAAGGGGAACAGAGAGGGAGACGAGTGGGGGTGAAGGAGGCGACAAGGGGGAAGGGCAGGGAAGCGTAACGAGGGATGCGGGGGGGGGGGAGGGGGAGGGGGAGGGGGAGGGGGAGGGGGGGAGGTTGAGAGAGTGGGAAGAGGGGCAGGAAGCTTCAGCTCGCCATCGTATTGATGCGGCGGCGCCTCGTCGCTCTCGGTGATCATGATACGCCGACCGAGGGGGGAGAAGAGCAGAGGTAGCGGAGGGGAGGGGAGAAAAGCGTATGGGGAAGGGGAGAGAGGGGATTATCAGCCTCACCATCGTATTGATGTGGCGGCGGCTCGTCGCTCCCAGTGATCACGATACGCCGACTTAGCAGCGCGACCTCGCCGTAGATCCCCACTGTCCCTCCCACGCCATCCGAGATCTCCACTCCCTCGTGCCTATGCCTCAGCGCTGTCTTGAGATTGATTCTATAGATCCTGTCAGATTTCCCGGGTTTAGATGCCGCCCGGACCACGGCGACCGACACTATCTCGTGGTGCTCCGCGTCGTTGAGATCTGCTGACGTGGACGCCAGCGCGACCGTCATTCCCGGCGCCCACAGCGTGACGTCAGTGTCGACGAGGATGGAGCGCGCGCCCGCGTTGGCTGTTTCGGTGAGGCGCACCCAGGAGGGGGTGTCGCTGCCGCCAGGCATGCCATAGAACGCCACTTGCCCGCCCACCTGCAGGGAGAGAGTGGTCGAAGAGGGTAGGTGGGGGAGGGAGGGAGAAGGGGGGGAGCTGAATGATAGGAAAGGGGGCCACCACGTGGCGTAAGTGTTGAAGAGAATCGACCACACGCCCGCACTGGCCGTCTCAGTGAGGCGCACCCAGGAAGGGGTGTTGCCTCCCCTGGGCATGCCGTAGAATGCCACTTGCCCGCGGAAGGGGTGCGAGTGGGGAGAGATGGGAGAGAGGGGGTGTATAGGCGAGCGCTAGCTGTCTCCGTGAGGCGCGCCCAGGAAGGAGGAGGAGTAACTTCCTCCCCCCGGCATGCCGTAAAACGCCACTTGCCCGCCCACCTGGGGGGAGAAAGGGGAGAAGAGGGGGAGAGGAGAGGGAGGGAGGAAAGGGAAGAGGGAAAGATCAGGAGAGGAGGGGGGGGGGGGGGGGGGGGGGAGGGGGGGGGGGGCACAGAGTCAAATCAGCAATGGGCGCTCTTCAGCTACTGGAGAAGAAAACTACCGGTACGAGTACTACAGAGCGCTCTTCATGTGTATTTTGAGCCGATTATAAAAAACTACCGGTACGAGTACAGAGCGCTCTTCATTACTGCTGCTCTCTTTGATTCTGAGTGAAACTAGAAATGGGCGCTCTTCAGCTACTGGAGAAGAAAACTACCGGTATGAGGAGAACTGCAGAGCGCTCTCATCACTGCTTCATTCAGCTAGGGCGCTCAGCTGGTTTCTCTCTTTCATCGATACCGAGTGAAACCAGCAATGGGCAATGGCA